GTCAGTCCTTTTTCTTAAGTCTTCAGTTGTTTTGTTCATCCACTACTCCCTCGGTCTTCCCTTAGGTATTCTCTCCTTTATTAGGTGCATCGATGCTATTAATTTTCGACGGTTAAGGTCGATGGGGTGGAGAGTTAATGGGGTCGTGAGTATCTCCATTTGGGCCGGGACTTAATAACGATTTTACTCGTTATTAGCAATTGTAATTTTTTTTATTATAAAACTCATCCATACTCTTAAAATTATCAAAATTTCAGATGTTCCTGGGAAAGTTGCGCAACTCATTGCTGGTTTATCCTACAGTCGAATTTCCCTTTCGAATGGGGACAGAGAGAGATAGAGTTTACATAATAATTTAAATATAATATACCTTTTAATGTTTTCACAATTATTTTGTAAATCGGCGATATTTCTCTTCGTCTTCGAATTACTTCTCTTGGAATGTTGAACTGATTAGCACAGAGAAGTTGACCCTATCGCCCCCCTGTGAGTGGCGAGTAAATGTAGAAAAGCGAAAAGAAAAGGCAGGGGAAACTAAAGGTTGGATGCTGAAGGGTGATCGTAAGTAAAAGTTGTAGTTACTGACAACCTTTCACTTTCCCGTATTAAAACGGGTGTAAAGAAACATTCACTTTAATGGTTTCAGCATTTGGAGAACAATGTACAGTACAGTAAAGATATAAAGTGTGAGTTTGTTTAGAAAGATTTTTAACAATATTTCTATGCCTTGTTCATACAAGAAAAAATGAATTAGCGGGCAATTAGGTACTTGGGTATAACTTGACACTGATTGGTGCAAAATCTCACACTAGAACAATCGAATCCGAAGGAACTAGTGTTATCAGAAAGGAAGTTTCTCCTCTCATTTCGTATGTTTCACAAATAGAATATCCAACAAATTTAACAAAATTTTGTTAAAAGTAAATTATGAGCTTTGGATTCTCGCTAAATATTCATTCTGCATTAATTGTATTTTTAATTAATTGTAATTTTTTTTTTTCCACACAACTATGAAAATTATTTTAGTGTTGTTTCGCACAAAAGATAATCAAATTTAAATTTATTTTCATTTTTCTTCGTAATTTATATCATTTATTTCATAAATTTACCTGCCTTTTAACTTTTTTTTTTAATTTTAGCATTTAATTATAAGAGAGTTAACATTGAATTATCATTCTATCTAGTATAATGTAACCGGAAAAATTTTATTAAGTTTTAAGGATATGATTAAATAGGCTTATTTTATTTTTAGTTTCTTACTATAAACATTTATAGGTGCGTTTTAAAAACAATAGTATTAACCATATAACACTTGATTTTATAGCTGAAAAGTGTCACGTGTGCTGGAGACGTGTCACCGCTGGAGTTTCTTCCGTTAACCCTTTGTTTACTGACAGGGTTTTGTCGTCCCACTGTCATTAAAATCCTTTATATTCTTCTCTATATGGGTTCTTTTGACAGTGCGGGAGTCAAACTTAATCCAGCTTCAATGTCTCCTACGTCACCTTTCTTTTCACTTTGACTTACAATATAGAAATGAACTACAGAAGATTCCGTGTATATGTGTGTGTGTGTTGGCACATTCATACACATTAAAATAAATAGAAATGGTAACATTTGAATATTCTATGTATCATTAAATATACTAGAAATTCTCCCTTCAAGCATGACAGAATATTTCTTACCAGAAAGAAGAGATTGAAGAATTAAGAAGTGCTTTAAGTCGATCTTGACGTTGTGATGCTGTTTCTGCAGCCGTTTACAAAGCCATTTTTACTTGATGTTGCTTAAGTCGATGTTCATTAAGTACATTTTTTTATTTGAAAACATATAACAAAAATTGCGATGTTTCGGAGAATCTGGAACGGATTAATGGCATTCCAATTCATTTTTATGGGAAAAATTAATTTTACATACGAGTAATTTGAGTTACGAGTTCCGTCACAGAACGAATTAAACTAGGAAGTCAATGTATCAAGATTTTCTATTGTGATAAATAAAATATTTGTGTTAAATTCTTTATTCATTTCGTAGAAAATTTGTATTCTTTGTATGCTTTACAAATTTATAAATTAAAATTTGAGTAAATTATTATCGATTGAATAAGTCAACGTAACACGTGGGCCATTTGCTAATCGGGTATTCCTCACGCATAGATTTTATATGGAAAACTGATTCCTGTTTAGTTATTAGGCACGTGAAGGAAAACCGGAAACTTTGCGCTACAAGCCGGTTAATGAGGAGCAAATTTTCGACCATGAACGAACCTAATTATCATCGAACATTATTAAATTTACTTTAGTACTGAAGTATTAGTGTATGAATGACTTTTTTATAGTAATTCATTGCTAAAGCAAACTTTAGAGAATTTAGGAACAATTTAGTCGATGACAAGTGATGCTAATTCGATCTCGTTCAAGACTATCCTGCTCTAACGCGACCCGAAACATGAGGTCACCGGAAGTTTTAGCTGGGTCGAGGGGTTTCACCACATCATCGCATCTGACACTTTGTAGCTATAAAACCACGATTTATATGGTAAACAATTATTATTCCTAGAACTTACCTACGAATAGTCATAGTAATCAAAAATTAAATTTATTTCATCGTTAAAATTTAAAATATTTTGGAAGGTCGCATCAAAATTTACCAATAAAATTGAAATTTATTTTTTTTTGGCTAAAATTTGAAAAATTTATAAACATATAAATTCCTACTGTCCTTCCTTAACTACAAGAACGTATTTTGATAGACGAAATCGTCGATCAGATATAAAAACCGTGGGGGCAAAAGGCCTGATTAACTGTGTACGAACTTCCGAAGCAAACCGGAAGTCACGTTCTTTCAATTCAAAACTTTCCCCTCGAAAGAAGTCAGATGAATGGCCTGCACGACTCTATTGTTAAAGGAACAGTATAAGGTACAGAAGCAAAACACTACTACTTTGAGCATATACTTTTAATTAAAATATAATTGAAAATTGCATCTCGTCATTAGTTTTCCAAATAATCAGACAATTAATGTTTTATAAAAAAAATATTATTGTAAAAAATATGAAAACAAATTTATAAACTATAACTTAAATATTTACTGGGAGATTTATTTTATAATCTGCTTTTTGTTTTAGAAGTTTTACTTCTAAAACCATTAGAAGTTTTTCTTCAAAAGCATTTTTTTAAAACTGTTACTTCTATGGTGGTGTATAAAAGATTTAAAAGATAGACTCGAAAAATTTAATTTTTTGTAAATAGTCTAAAAACTTCAATTGAGAATCTGCTTTTTATTTTATTTTCTATTGTTAAGGAAATTTCGGACGAAATTTAATGCAGTATTAAATGCGAACCACGCAGTACAATGCTATTTATTAAAATTAAAGGAAGAATAAATGGAAATAATTGTTTGTTTAGTTATGGAAACGCATCACTTGGGCGATCTGCCTAGTAAAATGCCTTCCGAGAGGTCTTTTTAAAGGAAACTGGTCCCTATTTAGGCGTTACAGTAGTGGAGAAAACCCAGAAAACTCCACGTGGCCATCCCACCCCAGCGAGATGTAAACCAACAACCTAACTCGCAGTGTTCAGGGCACGAAGACTGCTTGGCCACTGGTAGGCTCGGAAATAATTAAATGGTTAATATTTACATTTATTTTTTTTTTCAGAGTTAGCAGTAAACCACACAATTACCAATACGTATTACGTTGGCCCGTGTGGGACAGAAATCTCGCTTCCCTTGCCCATACACTAAACACTGTGAACTCTGACATTGTGTGGATATATTTCCGGTCACATGGCGATCTTTTGTGAAAATTAAATATACATTAAGTAATCATTCGAAATTTTTTTTTAAATTTTTGATTAATCATTACATATAAAGCGATAAACAAAGAAAAAGTTCACGAAAAACATCTTAGAGCGATTAAAAATTATTTATTTTATTAAAAATTGATTTCATAAAAATTTCAATTTATTATTAGAATAATTGATTCATTCNTGTAAATAGTCTAAAAACTTCAATTGAGAATCTGCTTTTTATTTTATTTTCTATTGTTAAGGAAATTTCGGACGAAATTTAATGCAGTATTAAATACGAACCACGCAGTACAATGCTATTTATTAAAATTAAAGGAAGAATAAATGGAAATAATTGTTCAGTTATGGCAACGCATCACTTGGGCGATCTGCCTAGGAAAATGCCTTCCGAGAGGTCTTTTTAAAGGAAACTGGTCCCTATTTAGGCGTTACACTAGTGGAGAAAACCCGGAAATTTCCACGTGGCCATCCCATCCCAGCGAGACGTAAACCCACGACCTAACTCGCAGTGTTCAGGGGACGAAGACTGCTTAGCCACTGGTGGGCTCGGAAATAATTAAATGGTTAATTAAAAATTGTTAAATGATTAATATTTACATTTATTTTTCTTCAGAGTTAGCAGTAAACCACACAATTACGAATACGTATTACGTTGGCCCGTGTGGGACAGAAATCTCGCTTCCCTTGCCCATACACTAAACACTGTGAACTCTGACATTGTATATTTCCGGTCACATGGCGATCTTTCGTGAAAATTAAATACACATTAAGTAATCATTCGAAATTTTTTTTTAAATTTTTGATTAATCATTACATATAAAGCGATAAACAAAGAAAAAGTTCACGAAAAACATCTTAGAGCGATTAAAAATTATTTATTTTATTAAAAATTGATTTCATAAAAATTTCAATTTATTATTAGAATAATTGATTCATTCCATTTTGAATACTTTGTTGGGCTGCAATTTAAATAAATTGTAAACCTGTAAATATCCACTGTCGTCCGTCCGCCCGTCTTTCTCTCGTTACTCTCGAGAATTGAGTTAGAAAGATGAGTCCACGTATTGAAACCTTAGTGACAGGCCGTAGAAAGTAGAAGCTCCGATTAACTATGTAGTATTCTGGTTTCTACGGTAAATTTGTATATAAAATTGGGGCTTCATGTCCCTAAGCTTTCCATATCTTGTCACGACTTTATCTTATTCTCTTCTCGAATTGAAAAAAGACAGACAACGGTGAACAATGAGAATTTATAAGTCCACAGTTTTTTTAAAATTGCAGTTCTATTATTATAAGCGAAATTGAAAACATAAAAATAATCAGTAAAAAATCTCAATATTTCTACCTATTGTCCTGTATAATATATTTCGTATATTAATATAAATAATACGTATTTTACACACAAAATTCTATTGCGAAAGATGACTTCGCACGTGAAGTTTTAAAGTAATAAACGAACAGAATTTCATACCACACACATCACATATCATAACGCTTAAATCGGTATTCATTTTCATATGTCTATTTAGAAAAGTTTGTGTCCGAAATGTCTTATTGCAAATTTTGCATTTATACCTTCCTGCCGGAGGATGAGCAGTCTTTTTATGAGTTTCGAATTCGACTTTTGACGTAAATTTCCTTATACAAACGTCACAACGGAAGTGTATCTGATTATTGTATGCAAGTAGATGCCGCTCCAAATCAAAACTATTTACGTAAGTTTGTTTACAGATATTACATTGATAAGTTAATCGTTTAGAGTGTATTTCTGAACAAGAAAATTGTAAATGCAATTTCAGTTTAGTTTCTGTTTTAAATCTACGTTTACAATAGCTGCAAAAATGTTCCTTTCTTTGATGAGCAGGTTGGTGCCTTAAGAGGTGAGATTTGGTGTAAAATCCCTTCTTACATACCTCACAAACGTAAGGCAGATTGTCTTTATTGTGAGAACTTTGATGACGTTTCAACCCAAAATTTGACATGAAACGTGTGTTACACACCTCACAAAGATACGGTTTTATATCAAAATGAATTCTCTGATGAATGACTAAAGAATTTTTACACGAAAACTCTTTTTTACATATATTACATTTTTGAATATGGATTTTCGAGTGAGCTTTCAGCATATTTTTAGTTTTGAATGACTTATTACAATATGCGCAAACAAACATATTCTGATGTTGAACAAAGCGATGTCTGTCAAAAGCAAATCTATTTTTGAATCGTGTTTTACATACGTGACAAAAATACTTACCACTTTCATGAGTTCTTTCATGTCGTCGTAAATAGCGTTTTGTTTTAAAATACTTGTTGCATATCTGACAGCAGTAATTGCATTCATCGGTATGTATAAGAACATGTCGTCTTAAATGCTGTCGTGTCTTAAAACTTTTGTTACACACCTGACAAGAATACTTACATTCTTCACTGTGGATTTCATGATGCCTTTTTAAATGGCGTTTCGTTTTATAACCCTTATTACATATATCGCATTTGAAAGGTCGATCTTCACTATGAATAACTTGGTGTCTTCTGAATAACGATTTCGTTTGAAATTCTTTTTTACGTATCTTACAACAATGAGGTGCTTGCTGATGTCTTCTGTGATGCAGCTCTAAAAAGCCCTTTGAAGCAAGTAGCTTATCGGAGATGTCGCATCGAAAGTTTTTCCGTTTAGATGTTTTACGAATTTCAGATGATGATGGCAAACGAAGATTTCTATGATCAATTTCGCTTTGTTTTTCGGTGTTGTGTTCCTTCATGTGTATTCTCAGTAAAAATTGCCAGAAAAATTTCTGATTGCAGGTTGTGCAGCTAAATGGTTTCTTTCCGATATGAAAGTTCAAATGCGCTTGTAGTATTTCCTTGTTTATAAAAGTCTGTTTACATAAATCACATTTGTGATTTTGTTTAGAGTGAGATGAACGCGTTACTCTGAGATATTTCCTCATTATATTTCCTTGGATGTTGTTGCATTTTCTAATTGAAGGGATGAATTTCGTCTTGTTTGCATTACACTTATTATTCTTTTGTCTTTTTGAATTGTGATGAATATCGTATTGCTCACTTTCTTCTTCCTTCTTAACTGAAATTTAAATGTTAAATACGATAATTAATTCGTATACTTTAAATTATATACTTATTGTGTTCTTTGACATATGTGAAATTCTGACTAACCTATGAGAAAATTTTTTTTCTCTCGTCATTATTTCCGTTATTTCTCCCGTTCTCACCCTAATGTCCGAAGAATAGACCCCGGATAATGAACTGCGTAATTCGTCCGTCAAGAAGGTCATCCCTAGGACGAAGTCGTCCGAGGCGACCGCGGAAGAACTCCCCTCTCCCCGGGACGTTTGTTTGTTTTTACTAATTGGTCACACCGCAGACACCTTGTAAAAGAGTAGTCTCCTGCGGGTGTCCGGTGGACGGAGACGGATGGGTGTTCCTGTATAGAGAGTAGACAAGAGGTCACCTACAAGGGCACCCTTACGGTGAGAACATTACCAAAAATGGTCAGTCATCTCCCCAGGTGATGACGACTTTAACATTAATTGGTCAAGCGATGTCTGCATTGTCGTCACCCATGACGGGGGAGACTGTCATAAATCGGGAGAAGTGACAGTTTGCGTCAGAAGAATCCTCGAGATTTCCCACGCTAAAAAAAGTATAAAAGGGGAATGATCGGAGTTCTCGAGGCGATCATCGGAGGACGCGATCATCGAAGAAAGAAGACTACAAGCGTCTACTCTGGAAGGACTTCAAGGTTTCTGATCGCCGACCTAAAGAGGTAAATACTTAGATTGTTTTTACTTCACTCTCTCTCGGTATACTCGGGACTTAGAAAATATTGTCTATCGGTATACTCGGGACTTAGAATTTTGTCGTTTGCCGATATACTCGGAACTTTGAATGAACACTAAAAAGGGATTTTTGGAAATTCTCCCCTGCAGGGGAGGGGGAAAGAGTTAAGTATTACTCTGAAGAATTCAGCTTCTACCGTACTATTTTAGATGTGTGTTATTTATATTACATAATATTCTATTATGACAATTAAAGACATACCATTATATCCTGAAATAACATTATATATGACAATGTAATGATATTTTCGATTGTCATATATATGTTATTCTAGAATATAATGGTATGTCTTTAATTGTCATAATAGAATATTATGTAATATAAGAAATTTATATTTATATCTTATTGTGTAGCCAACCGAAGAGGGGCTAAAGCCCGAAACGCATCTCGACAAATAAAGTTGTGAATTTAGAAATTTAGAAACTAATCAAAAACTAAAACTAATGACAAAAATAATCATATCTCAGACAAGTTAGATTATGTAAATTTTGACAAATATTTGTACTTAAATGATGAAATAAGATATAAGTGAGGAATAAGATATGAAATAGGATCAAATTATACTCTCAAAAACAAATTGTGAAGAGAGAACCAGTCACTACTTTTTCACTTCTGTTGTTTTGCATTAATCTGTTGTTCAGATAATCATCTTTCTGCTAATACAAATTAAATCTGTTAACAGGTTGTGCGCGACATCCCCGGACGGCGAGTCCATTCCGGACTGTCCGGATGGTATTCTGTGCTCATTTCAATGGTCCGAATCGTAGGTGCACGAAAATATGAAATAAAATGGTTCAAATTCTTACAAGATATTATTATTATTTATTGTGAAATTTTGCCGCCCCNGCGCGACATCCCCGGACGGCGAGTCCATTCCGGACTGTCCGGATGGTATTCTGTGCTCATTTCAATGGTCCGAATCGTAGGTGCACGAAAATATGAAATAAAATGGTTCAAATTCTTACAAGATATTATTATTATTTATTGTGAAATTTTGCCACCCACTAAAATGGGCTGCCCGGGGCGGGCCGCTCCTGCCGCCCCCACTACGCTACACTACTGACATTGACAGCAAAAATTTATTGCTTAAGACTATCCAATCAACCCAATTTTTTCTTGGTTCTATTCACATATTCTATTAATGTTAATATTAGTGTATGGTACGAGTGCAAAACTCAAAAAAAAACTACGCCAAGCGAGCCGTTAATGAAGTGCAAACCCGAGACCAACTGTCAATGTTCGGTTGTTTTATCCAATATACCACCGGTTGGCTTAGTATGAATTGATTCGAATGACCAAATATACACAATAGATTCTACATTTATTATGCAGTTTCGTTCTAAAAGATCTTCTTTTAGAAAACAGTAGCATAAGTTTAATGTCGCAAGTTGAGATCTCTACCATGCAGATAAGAAATTCAGCCGTGCTCAATTTAACTCATAAGCTGTCAGAGTACATTTGTATTGATTAATTCTAAGCCCGCTTATTAGTTTTTTTTAAATTTTTGCTTGTTATGTTTGCTTTGCATGTCACAGATTGTCAATAATCAATATGTATTTGTGGAAGACAAACGAACTGCCGAACTATCTGGATATAGCCTTGATGCCGCTATTAACAGCTGCTATGTACAAGTAAAGTTATAATTCATTACCTGCAATTACAGTTGCTTAATAAAGGTTTTCGATTATTTTCATCGATTAATATTTGACAGAGACCACACCTATCAGTCCTTGTTTTAAAATGACTGATCATTCTGACATCAACGCCTTCTAATTTTCAGGGAAATTCGCGAATTATATATAAAAACATTTTTAAAACCCATTACCGAATGCGATTCAAGTAGTAGTACACGGTACATCAGTATGTGCCATGACGTCAACAGTCTACTCTCGATGATGTCATGAAGTATGACGCGAGGGTCGCTTAATTATACTTTCTATATGCAAAATTTCTTCAACCTTAACACAAAATAAGAAAACAAGGTGCCTTTTAAAGAACTTGCGAGATTTTCCGAGATTAGAAGAATTTTCCGGGTTGAAAACAAACGGATATACAGGGAAAGAAGCGAATATGATTCCGAATTATGCGATTTAAACGTAATTAATCTCGACAACAAGACTTTGGAATTCGGCCCGAATACCAATAATTACGAAATATTTTATAGATACAAATTGAAAAATGTAAAATATTTTAAAGAAATTCTTTTCGACTTCCAGCTGGATTATATTTTTTTAAGCATTAGATTGAGTAAAACAAACTAAAATAGTAAACAGATTTTATTAATAGAAATTAAGAAAAATCCGATATTTAAAAAGTCCTCCGACCGAGTAAATATGTTTAAATAATGTTAAATTCTCTTCGAAATGAATTAAATTTTATGAAATTTTCGGTCCTAACTTTTAAACTTATTTTTGCATCCAGACGAACTCTCCATTGTCTTCGAGAATAGCAAATTCAAAGTTAACGGTTAGATTGAAGTACGAAAAAGTTCGAAGTTTGAGATTGAGATACCTAAATAAGGGGGGGGACGGAGAAAAATTTCGCCCCCCTTATTTAGATATCTCAATTTAAAAGACAAATTCAGTTTCGTCACAGAATAAGTAATGAAAAATTCCGTGCTAGTGTTGCCACCTTATTAAAATCGCTGACCCGGACGGCGGGTGAGGTTTGTTCGAATAGAAGTTCCTGACCCATGCGTATGTCATTTTGCAATGCGAAGAATAATGTGTTGTGCATGCTGGTTCTAAATCAGTTACAGTTAGCGACTAGGGAGACTTGGATAGGAGTAACGCGAGTGACCTAGCTGTATTGGATTTTAGAGGTGTATATATAGGCCTATACGAATAAATCGTACAAGCAAAAACAAAAAAAAAAAAAGATCAACAGGTTGCGCACGATATCCCCGGATGGATAGTAACACTATTTCGTGCTCATTTCAATCGGTCCGAGTCGTAGGTGGACGAAAATATGAAATAAAATGGTTCAAATTCTTACAAGATATTATTATTATTTATTGTGAAATTTTGCCGCCCCATATAACGTAATTTTGTCTCCCCCTAAAATGGGCCCCCCCTGCCGCCCCCACTACGCTACGCTACTATACATATAACAGCATGGCGATTGGTGAAGAAAATGACCATGCAATATATTTACATTGTCAGGCTGAGGGAAGTTTCAAAATTCAAGAAATAAATAAAAAACTTTCGCGGATTATTCTGCATGTATGTATGTATGTATGTATGTATGTATGTGTATCTGTGTAGTATATGGCACATTCTTCTTTATCCACTTTGATTCATAATAATTGTTTCGAATTTTGTCCAAAATATCTAAAGTTTTGAATGGAGATTTATGTTTTGGGGGTTAGATGCTATTAACTTTTGGTTATAGAGGTTAACGGGGTACAGAGGGTACATGTGTAATGCCACGCGTAAAATCGGAAATAATGAAGATTTTACTCGTTATTAGCATTTACAATGTTTTATAAACCTTTTCTCTAACCACAAAATTAAGCTTTTTGCCATTTTATGATATATAAAATTATATAAACACCTTTTAAATAAAATATTATTCCGGATGTTGCCACACACAATTTAAGAAGAAAAGTTAAGGATAATTGAATTTATTTACATATTAATATCAATAAATATCCAGCAGAAGTGTAGAACTTTGTAACATTGAAAATGTTAACGTCGTTAGCTATAGCATTAAGAATACAGTTTTAAAACTACAAGCACATTTTATTTTTTAAAATTTCGGAATTTTAAGTATAAAATATTATTAACTATTTTGGTGGTTGAAGGTCGGCGGAGTGGACGGATAATGGAAGTCGTGTGTATCTCCAGTAGGGTCAGATTTAATAACGGTTTTTTCTCAGAATTAGCAATTACAATCTTAATAAAAACCCACCTCTTCCCTGAAAATTAAGCTTTATGTTATCATATAATAGGTAAAAATATAACAGGTTTTTTTTTAAATAAAATGTGATGGTACCGCAAAATTTTAAATGTTACATAGGGCTAATTTTATATGTAAAGTCTGATCTTCAAAGAAGTATTTAAATTAATTAACAAATAAACTTGTAATGTGTTACTTACTTTGTACGTTCGTTTCATTTCTGTTAGAATTTCTGTCGGGAATGAAGAATTCGTTCTTGACAGGCTAAAGAATGTAGATACAACACAAAATAATATGTTATACACGAAAATAATTATGTAAGTCATAAACATGTTGTTGTGCATTAAAAAGTGCATTAAAACTAAATTATTTCTTACATATTTTGTAGAAATTAATTCCTTCTTTTTGTTTGGTGTATGGTGTTATAAAAGAATGCAAAATGTGGTCAATCTGCTGAAGGGAGATCTTCTCGGAAGTACTTTCTATGGGAAACTGGCCCTTGTTTAGATGTTGCAGAAGTAAAGAAACCCTTAAATCTCTACTTGGGCAACCCATTAACCAGGAACGAATTCACAGTCAACAGTGTTCAGGGATTTTATCTACTGGGCAACTTATTTGACCAAGGATTCCCAACTTTTGTTCCGCGAATCCCTAGGGTTACGCTAATAAAAGTTTCCAGATCCACAATAAAATCCGTTGAGTCTAGTAATATATGATTGTGTTAATTCAGATTTGAGTTATAAGGAGAAATTGTTGTAGTCTCGGATAGATCTTCTCTGACGATACAAGGACTTTCTCCGAGGCTATACACATGCTACAGTTATTTATAGACTTCAACATATACTCAGACTCATTGAATAATGTTCAGTTCTTCTTCCATCTTTTTCGTGTTCGCTGAATCTTGGCAGATTTAGCGAACACCAAAAAAATGAAAGAAGAACTGAACAAGTTACTAACAGATGTCTGGTATCTAAACACTATTTTATTGAAGAAATTAGAACTTCCAACATTAACCTTACCTAAATTTTTATCGCCATCATTGCAAAACGATGTCGTTAAAAAGTAAATAAGTTAATTTTAAAATCAACAATTAATTTTAACAGATACGAAATTAAAAAACTCAAATCTAAAATCAAAATAGTTAAAGGTAAACACGCTTATGAAGTCGACTATGATAACACACATACTCGTAGAAAATATAATAAATTGGTTAAAAGACTAAATTACCCAACTATAAAGGAATGAAACAAACTGGGAACAAATGTTAGTTGTAAACCAAAATGCTTGCATAATACCTAATTTTGTTAAAAATTTGTTATCAAAAGTTTAAACTTTTATGGCCGAACAAAAATTAATTATAATGATTTCAAAGTAAATTTAGAGGATATACTAACTAAAATAGAAATTAACGAGAGAGAACATGTCAGTACCAATTTTAAACACATTTTAGATCATTATTAGATCAGGTATATTACACTTTAACTGAAGATCCTACTTTAAATTAAGCATAAATGAAAGTTTAGTAAAAATGGTTAAAAAACTTAAAGAATCTAATTAATTAATACAAAAGATGTTGATAATATTTTTGATTACAACTGGAGAATACCCAAGTTCAACATCACAGTAATAACACATTAATTAAATGAATCTTACCTCTCACTGATTGACATTAAATTTTACGTTCTTTACAACTTAGAGAAATTCCTTTAAAATAAACTAAATATATTTGATAATTCAATTAATAGCATTAAAAACTTTGACCAGTTTATAAAAAATCTCCAAAATCTCAATATAAATAAAAATATGAGAATGTTGAGCCTGAATATAACTACCTAAGTACTGTATTTTATTATGGAGAGAAATTCCTTTAAAATAAACTAAATATATTTGATAATTCAATTAATAGCATTAAAAACTTTGACCAGTTCATAAAAAATCTCCAAAATCTCAATATAAATAAAAATATGAGAATGTTGAGCCTAAAAAATATATGTTTTTGAAATAGAAAATGAAAATAACAGCAAACTTAATTTTTTAGACATCACTGTACTAAGAAATAATAATTTCATTACCTTTAAAAAATATATAAAACCCTGTGAAGTCAGTAAAGTAATCAATTATTACTCCAGCACACCCGTGTATATTAAAAAGAACATATTCAATATGTATGCCAACAAAATCAAAACACGTACTATTACATAAGTGAAACTAGTAGGGCGTTTAAAACCCGTATAAAAGAGCATATAAGAGCGGTAAAGTATTATTACACCAAGTCAGCGGTCGCCAATCATTGCAACCAAGCTGGCTGCGAGATCTTACTCGACAGTGTCAAAACTCTTAAAAAAGAAAAATATATTATTATAAGAAAATTTTATAAACACATTGAAATTATTAAAATGCACAGAATGAAATGCACAGAATGAACCTAAATACAGGTGCAGTCAGCAATGACATCTGGCAACCATTCCTAACTAAGTAGCAAAACCCATTAAAATGTACTACCTCCCTCTATCGTATTACACTGGGCAAGTCAACACACCAAACATTCAGTGAATATTCACATTTTTTTAACCTTTCCTATCTGGCCTATGTTTTTTTTTTTTTACATTTTATCAGAATTATTTCGCATCATACCCTTATTAATTTTATACAAATTCCACCTCTTAATTATGTACTTAATTTTTTAAGTTTACCCCCTTTTTATTCTAGCACATGTTATTATACTGTTCTAATGTGTATACGGGTAGAATTAAAAGAATTTTATCTCCATTCATTACCTTTTTTCGCCTACGTCTTCTCACGAGTCGTGTTGTCGTGACTGTCACTATAAACTCAGGAAATTATGTTTTATTGTATAAACCTGTGTATACGTAACCTAAATATTTCAATACAATTGGTAAATCTATAACTCTGTAATAATTTTGCTGATAAATCTGTTATAATAGGACTGAAGACGGGTATTAAGCCCGAAATGCATATCCTTTCCTATCAATAAACCGACCTTTTTCCACTAAAAGTGTTCCTGTGTGATTTGTTCTCAACGGCAACCTTATGCTAAGAAAATACATATAGTAAAGAGAACAGCAAGCAACCAAGATCCAACAAAGATGGTTTAAAACTTAAATTGGAGCAAATTATTACTACGGAAGTGCATTTTTTTTAGAAATTGGCATTTTATTCAAGAATGGTTCCTTAAACCCGAAGGTATACATCACGATCATCGTTATACATCCCTTCAACCTCCAATGATTTACATACCTATAAGCTTTCAGAGTTTAGAGCACTAGTTAGAAAGGCATAGGAATTTCCTTTTCCCACCTCACGACTTTACTTTATCCAACATCGTGGATTTACTCGACGAGAAATTTATTCGCTCAAAAAGGAACACATTTTATAATACTCTAAAGCATTTACATTGGCTCAAAGTAACAGAGTTAAATTGTTACGATCTTCTGACTCATTGTCCATCACCCACATCCTTCGTTTACATTGACTTCATTTCAATTATCTTTTTCATTTTTGTCCCACCCTTTCGGAAACCTTATAAATGTATTTTTCTATAATAAAAATGTTCATATTGTTATAAACTTAAATAACCCAACTGTTTACTATCATTGGTCTTTCGAAGTATAATTTTAGTCCCTTACAAAACCCTGGGTTGATTCGATCAGATTGCCATTTTCATTTCAAGCTTGGCCTACTCTGGCTCGATAAAACTCTGGATCAGTCTGAACTAAACACTTAATGTTCCCACCCTTCGGACTTTCATCATGGAAAGAAAAAAGCAGAAAGTAAAAAACCATAAAATTACGACTGTTGTTTAATACAGAATACACCTAAATTTATAGTTTAATTGTGTAAAATATTTGGAAGTTTGTATCACTTACCTCTAAATCTTTGTATTCATCTGGGAGATAAACTTCTTTACAATCTTCAATTTTGACTTTAAAATTCAATCTTTTCAAAACGACTTTACATTCTAATTTTATGCCATGTTTAATGTCACGTTTCTCTTCTTTTATTTCCTTTTTCTTACAATCTGTATCGGAATTTACAAACTATTTTTATTATACAACATTCTAAGCTAAGAATTAAAATATATAAATATAATTTTAGTTTTAATTATTTAGAAAAAATATTTCTTAACAAAACTATGTAAAAATCTAAAAACACAATGTGGATATTAGCTGAATTTTATAATAAAAATTATAGACCTATAAATTCCCAGTACTCTGTTAGGCTGTTTGCCAATCCTTCCTTAATCTAGAGATTGTAGTAAGATAGATGAAACCCGAGACCAGATTTGGAAACAGTAGGCTCCATAAGCCCTAATTACCTATATACGAACTTCCGATGTTAAACGGAAGTCACATCATTTCATTTGATATACAGTATTTGTCTTGAAAGATGTCACATAGAAGGCCAGCACAGATAAAGTATGGTGTACTGTACGTTTTCCCTGAAAAGAAATAAGCTCAGCGCTTCGAAGCGTAGTGTAAAAAAACAATAATGGATGCGAAAATCTTGTGAGTAAGCATGATGTTATGTGAGAAAAGTAAAATAGCTATACAAGGAACCCCCATGTACTGTACTTTGACCCTTCAATCCGGAAGTTTCGCTAGCAACTGGTCGATAACGAGAAAGAATAAGTGTAAAATTTGAGTAGTTTTTTCTCTAGGAGCGTCTGCAGTGTCACTTGGAAAAATACATTTTTGACTATTTTTATACATTTTGATTGCTTATATTTCGGCAGATGCTTGATAAAAAGTCATTAAATTTCGCACATTAACTAAGAAAACAAGTATCTTTTGAATACTGATTTTTAGGATTAAATGACAAATTAATTTGCTCACGCAACATGCTATCAATTTTTTCAAAAGGATAAATCAGGGTCAGATGGTCTGGATATACAGTAAAACCTGTTCAAAACGGAAATCTGCCTGAACGGAAAAGTTCTTCAGAATGCAGCCATTTTTTTTTGTTTTTAAAGAAACTTGTTAAAAACAGAAACTTGCCGGACATGAAAAAATATTCGGTACCGTCCTATTCTGGTTTACACAGGTTTTACTGTATTTTATTTCATTGAATCTGTGTTTTGTATAAGACTTTTATTTCGTTTGGTATACTAAGGATACATTAGTTTAGTCAGCTTTTTTTAAATATAATTTATTTTCTCATTCACACTTCCAGAACTTTTATCCACCATCTAACGCTGGTTTACCCCGTATATAAAAAGAAAACTTATAATATTTCTTTGAGTTTTATGACTAAATTTTGCAGAATTGATAAATTTGCCAGTAATTTCCATTATATTTCAGAGCTTCATCAACTATAAATTTCGAAATTGGGCAGGAATAATCTTATAATATAATCGAGATGGGTTGATGATGATGATAATAATAATAATAACTCTCCCGTGGTCACCACCTGGTCGTGATGGGAGAGCCCAGTAATTTTACTGATCCATAGGGCAATGCAGGCTGGAGCACAAGCTCCTGGTAGGGACACCCATGCCAGTAAGGTCTATGGGGAGAAATGAAGCTAAGAGTGACCACACACCTACATTCTGTGGAGATATTTATGATGGTAATAACCAGATCTAAGTATGATACCGGCTCGGACGTCGCCCGGGTTAACAAGGTCCGCGTTCGTGGGTTAGGCAGAGGCTCATGTTCGAAAAATAGGCCACAGTCTCCCTTGGTTACCGGTGGCGAAAGCAGCGCCGGCCCAAGCATGGCTACTGCAATGCCCTCAACAGATGTGAGGAATCAACCTAGCCTTGGTGTTTCTGTGGCAATGCATCCACAGACCACAAAGGCTGGAAAACCACGCCAACGGATGAAATGGACAACAGAAATGAACGAGTTTATCATCCGCACTTACTACACCATCACAAGACTCGAAACAAACATGACAGCATACAGACAACAACTACACCATAGATTCACACAACAATATCCTCACCTCACTGTCACCGAACAAAGGGTTGTTGATCAAAAAAGAACAATTATACACAACAACCTTATCCCACAAACAACACTTGAACTTATCAAACAACAGGTTGCTGATCAAATACATCAACAGACAGAAACATTTAACATTAATGAAGATCACGTAACCTGTCAGGATAATCCAGCAACAAGCACTGATTACAGCACACACACAACAAGTACCACTAATGATACTGCAGGCACTTCCCCATCCATCACTGATAACGTAGACATAGAATTAGTTAATACACTCTCACTTATATTTCAGGAAACACTCACTAAATATACAGGTACAGATCCCACACAAAGACCACGAATACCGAAAATCAACACGTCAAAGGTGGTAGGAAAAATACTAAATTATGTAAACACTCACTTACTACCAAACTACATCCATTTAATTTCTACACTCTCAGACATTCATACATTAGTTTGTGCTGGGGCAGTCACAGTAGTAACCATGGACTGAAAATACACTCACAGACACACACAAAACACAATTCTATCACAAGCCTGCCTGGCAGAGAAGAATAGAAACACAAATAAATGACATTAGACAGCAATTAGGCAGGCTGACACAATACACTAAAAACAACATAACACCCAAATTAAAGAAACAACTCAAAAACATTTTCAAGAAAATTAAAACACACACAAAACATGAACATCACAACACACACATTACAGAATACATCGATACACTAAAACAAAAACTCGCAGCCAAAGCACGTAGACTCAAACGATACAAAACATGTACACTACGAAAACAACAAAATAAATTATTCACAAACAATGAAAAACTTTTCTACAGACAAATCAGTACCAAAACAAACACTGATACACAGCACAGTGGCACACCAACAGAAGAAGAACTCACAACTTATTGGTCTTCTCTTTGGTCCAATGCTGTTACACACAATGCTGATGCAGGCTGGATCGAGGAGGAGAACAGAAACTTGCACAACATACCAACTATGCCCTGTGCTGAAATAAACATACACGACATTCGCTACGCTGTTAACAGAACACACAACTGGAAGACACCTGGTGTAGACAACATTCACAATTTCTGGTACAAAAAGTTTACATCACTGCACCAGGAACTAGCTAAACATCTAACACACATCATCATCAATCCACAAGACATGCCAAAATTTCTTACTCGGGGCATTACCTACATGAAACCTAAAAACAACAAAACCACAGACCCCACACAATACAGACCAATTACATGTCTTCCAACACTCTACAAATTATTGACATCCTGTATCACAAACAAAATATACAAACATGTTGAAGAACACGACATTCTTACAGAACAACAAAAAGGTTGCCGTAGAAATCACAGGGGATGCAAAGAACAGTTACTCATAGATTCAGTCATTCTACGGCAAGCACACAAACAACACAGAAACATACACATGGCATATATAGACTACAGAAAAGCATTCGACAGTGTTCCACACAGTTGGCTGCTACATATTCTACACATGTACAAAATACATCCATCACTCATTGCATTCTTCGAAAACACTATGCAGCACTGGAGAACAACACTACATCTCAGGGTTAGTAACACTTCCATACAAACAAACGAAATATTCATTAGGCGAGGAATTTTTCAAGGAGATTCCTTGAGTCCTCTCTGGTTCTGCCTAGCCCTGAATCCATTATCCAACATGTTAAACAACACGCATTATGGCTACAATATCAGACATGAAAAAACAACACAGTTTACACTCTCACATCTCATGTACATGGACGACATAAAACTTTATGCATCCACACAAAAACAACTTCATCAACTCCTACAAATCACACATTCATACACTAAGGACATACAAATGGAGTTTGGCTTAGACAAATGCAAAAAACTTCACATAGAAAAAGGAATCCTGAAGAAAGAAGATTTTGCACTTGGAAATGGAGACGTTATTGAATCCATGGAAGAGGGCGAGTTCTACAAGTACTTAGGATTCCAACAGGCCAAACTAACAGAACATACACAAATAAAGCAACGATTAATTAAAGAATACCAAAGTAGGTTAAACGCTATACTTAGAACACAGTTAAATGCAAAACACACAGTTAAAGCAATAAACACATATGTCATCCCAGTACTCACATACTCTTTTGGAGTTATACATTGGACTCACACAGATCTCGAGCAACTCCAAAGGAAAACAAGAACAACACTTACTAAGCATAAACAACATCATCCTAAATCCGCCACAGAAAGATTAACCCTTCCACGTAAAGAAGGCGGACGTGGCCTGATTGACATAGTTAACCTTCACTACAAACAAATACAGTCACTGCGAGAGTTTTTCTACAAGAAACAAGAAACATCACAGTTACATAAAGCAGTAACTCTAGCAGACTCAAATAACACACCATTAAACTTACACTCACAACATACAGACATGACACAACATATAAAAAGCATAGACAACATTAAGCAATCATGGGCTCAAAAGGCTCTCCATGGCAGGCATCCTTACGACCTGGCCCAGGATTTTGTTGACAAAACTGCGTCAAACAGCTGGTTAGATCGGGGATGCCTCTTTGGGGAGACGGAAGGATTCATGATTGCCATACAGGATCAGGTCATAAATACTAAAAACTACAGAAAACACATACTCAAAGATACAACACTCACAAATGACACATGCAGAAAATGTCACATCATGCCAGAAACTATACAACACATCACTTCTGGTTGCAAGCTCTTGGCACAGACAGATTACTTACATAGACACAATCAAGTAGCAAATATAATACACCAAGAGCTTGCAAAGAAACACAAATTGGCAGACATCCACGAACCATACTACAAGTATATTCCACAGACAGTACTGGAAAATAACACGCACAAACTGTACTACAACAGAGCCATAATCACAGATAAAACAATTTACCACAACAGACCAGACATCACACTCATTGACAAACACAATAAAATCACATATATTATAGACATAGCCATTCCAAACACTCACAATGTACAAAACAGATGCACTGAAAAAATTAGCAAGTACACAGAACTCGCCCAGAAAATAAGGCATCTGTGGAGGATAAAAAGGGTGCTTATTGTACTTGTAGTTCTCTCCTGTACAGGTGTGATACCACACACACTACACAAAAGTCTGGGAACATTACAATTGAATATAAATACATACATAACACTACAGAAGGCCACTATATTGAATACATGCCACATTGTTAGGAAATTCCTGAATACAGACACTGACACACTTATTTAATTTTAGTTTTGTTTTGGTTGCTATGCCTTGACTCTGGTCCGGCATAGTACACAGCCACCAGTGTGAACCGAGTAACCCACTAAACCCAACACAATAATAATAATAATAAGCGCAGGACCATATTGTATATTCTAAATAATATTTTTCGTATTTGAGTAATATATTGGAAATTATAAGTCAGAAAATGAGAAGGTAGAAAAGATCATTTTCCTTTTCCGAAGTTAAAAGACAAAATGACTAGATTAAAGAATAAACTAAATTTTTAATTAAAAGCAAATTAAATTCTATCACACTTCATTGTCTAAAACACCTAAATTAAGATTTTTCAGTTCTAGGATGCTGATAAATTAAATTTATTGCCTTAACTTTATGGAGCAGAAATATTGATAATATTAAAATACTTCTCTAATTTCATGTACTGTACACCGTATATAAGATATTTGCAAAGTTTAAGAAATATTATCGAGTTAAAACTTATATAAATATAAATTTATCTATATTTATGTTTTAACTATTCTTTTAATCACTAGAAACATATATTTATAATGTTAAAAGCATGAAGTCTCTTACCTATTTCGCTGTTATAACTGGAATTACTCCAATAATTGGAATAGTTTGTATTATTTCTTGAACTTGAATTTTCATAAGTATTTATCTGAAACGATTAGAAACTTGCGTTACATTATCACAGAAGTTAAATTGTACATAACAATAAATAAATAAAAATATTTAAACTGAAACATAAAATTCCGTTTAACCCATAAATACATTCAAAATAGTAATATGTCATGTGCATTGCTTTTAATTCTTTTATTATTAGAATTCGTTCACTTCATGAGAATCTGGAGCATTTTAATATGTAAAAATGACAGTTTATAATTTATGAAACCTGAGAATACATCATCTCACCCTCTCTACTTATAAAATATTCAATGTTTTCTCTTTTAGGACTACATTTCTTCACTTAAAACGATCCAAAATTTGAATAAGTTTTTGTAAATTATTCTCCCATCCCATTTGAATGATATAAAACATACAAAATATCCATTTCGACTAGTTCCTATTAACTATTTAATTGTATTTTTCTGTTATATGTAATTAAAATAAGTTCAGCTTTGGTTTATAATAAATGTGATATTTAGAAGCTGTCCATAAATTACATGCGCATTTTATTGACACTTTTACACCCTCTATCAGTCTATCTCATTGTTTCATTCGGTTAATCAACTCAGTTGTATTATTTATAATTTTTCATAGTAATTCATGTTTAAAAATCGTTTATATTGACTGCGATTTTTAATCATATTTTAATTTAAAAAAATCACCTGACTACGATTAATCAGTCCTTTGTTAGAAAAGTTTACGATTTTCACTCTGTTATCAGATTTAAAAAGAACAGACGAATAGAAGGTTTATAGCGGAAATCTACAGGTCTGAAATTTAAAAATTTTAGCCCAGTTCATATCACAAGTGAGGTCAGGCAAATGATAACCAATAAGTTGTAAGAAAATAAACAAATCTAAATCTAATGACACAATAAAGGATTTTGGAGCCAACTTTCTCACTAACGTCTATTTGACAGTTTTTATATGTAGACATGATGGATCCTTTCGAGTTCGGCTGACTTCTCTCACTTCAAAATAGTAACATTTCCCCCCCCGCAGTCATGCATTTAAGTAGACAAAGTTCATTTTATAATTTTGAAAGGAGTAATGTAAACGTAGGAAGTTTACAAATGACGCTTTTAAAGCAACACAAGAGTCATATACAAAAGTAAATTGTACTCACTCGTGTATATTTATTATCTGAAGGTTCAGATTTAATTCTTCTACAAAACTTTTTGGTATCCATATTTAATTCTTTCTTGCAATTCTTTAACACTTCAAACTTTACATCACATGGGTTCAATGTAAATTCTGAATATTCATTTTCTGGCTCTACTTTTATCTCCATTTTCTCAGTTTAAAATGTTTTTCATCTGTCAACAATCTGTTTTAAAACTGCTGAGTTTGAGTTTACATTTGTCTAAATAAATAAATAAAATTCATATAATAGGAAACACTTACCTGTCCTAGTTAAATAGTGTCATCAATCAGTTTCAATTAATATCCATATTAATTTCACTCGAATTTTTGAATGAGTAAGGGCTATTTCACATTATGACCGACTATTCCGACCCGATTACAAATAATTAAGTGTTTAAATTTGTCCTACTGGAACGACCCCTCTGTCGACCCACTTCTGTTGCTATGGCAACACGTCTTGGAGTGGGACCAGTCCAACCACTCGGCCATAGTACGAAAGAATTCTAACAAAGACAGGTAAGTAAACTTAGTGTTTTTCTTCTCGTTGTAGCAGTAAACAAAGGGTGTACTCTCAAAGTTAATAGAAGTCAAGAGGTGGCGCGTCACCAACTCACGTCATAGTTCGTAGCTACGAAACCCACATGATGTATGATAAACAAATATTGTTTCTAGAACCCACCTCGTTTTTATTACTCGTCTGGCAAACACGTTGTTACATCGTCAGTCCTTTTCTAGGTTTTTTTCCTTTCATTTAGGGGACTGATAGTATTAAATTTCGATGATTTAAGGTCGACGGAGTGGAGAGTTAATGGAAGTCGCCATTAGGGTGGATGAACTGATGTGTCGCGGAAACGAAAAGCGGTGACGTAACCGCATTTCCGCACGCGGTACCATTTACATTTCAGCGCATGCGTACAGTATTCAACATGGCGAACGATACCGACACTGCCGTTATCCACGTGTTTACAAATTTTGTTTCGTACTCCTCGCTTTATTTAACTAGAAGATTTTAGATGATAGATATTTTCTTGGATCGAGAAATAAGTGGTGTTCAATACACGCTTAATCCTCGATAAAGATCTATCGATAAAGAATACTACTTCGACTAAGATTCGTTTGTTTTTTCCTTTGAATTAAATTATATGTGATTATTTGTGTAAAATTTATTATTCTTTTCTGTTTAGTCTTAAGTCCGTTATTTCAGTTAATTAACCGCATCGTTCTTTCTGCAATTACAACACCACGTAATTGTATTTTCTCACGTGACTACCAGACGAACCGTTATTGGCTGATAGAAACGCGTTACGGCGAACTTAATGACGATTTTACTCGTTACTAGAATTTTTTAAGTTTTTATAAAACTCGTCCCTACCCTGAAAATTAAGGTTTCCCCGTTTTATAATATTTAAAAATATAAAATATTTTAAAAATTAAATATAATAACAGAGGGCGCCAGCTAAATTTCAAATGTTGTCGGGAGATTTGCGTTACTGGTTGCTGGTTTATTTTTCTATCGAATTTTCCTTTAGAATGCAGAGAAGGAGAGAGTTCACAGAATAACTTAAATATAAATATACCTGTAATGTTTTTACAATTATTATTTAAATCGGAGATATTTCTCTTCGTCTTCGAATTTTTCTCTGTATGTTTTCCAATGTGCGTCGGTGGTATGTCTTTGTTTCATACAGACAAGTTTTAGGTGGCAAATTCCAGGGATCTATCCTGTGTGAGGGCGACCTCATTTTTAAGCGCCGAACGCCTCCAATTAGAACTGTGGAAACAAAATTTCTACTCTTCCGACACGTGTCGGAAGTTGGACTGTTTAGCCAAAAAGGACGCGACGCCCCCCATGGGTGGATATAAATCAAAGGGTCGAAAAGAAGTGGACGACAGGAAAGACAAGAGGTAGAGTATTTGCCTACGGTAACCATAGGGAACGGGTGGGGTCACTGACAATCTTTTTCTTAACTCTTTTAAAACGGGTGTGAGGGAACATTGCGTTGAACGATTTTTAGATTTGGAGACTAAAAGTGTGAATTTCATAGAAAAGTTTTTCCTAAAAACATTTCCAGGTCTTTCTCACACAAGGAAAGATGGGTTAGGGAGCATTGGTGTACATTAACAGAAAAGATAGTTTTCCTCCAATTTCCTATGTTTTACAAAAATAGAGGAATACCGAACAATTACNTTTTCTGTTTAGTCTTAAGTCCGTTATTTCAGTTAATTAACCGCATCGTTCTTTCTGCAATTACAACACCACGTAATTGTATTTTCTCACGTGACTACCAGACGAACCGTTATTGGCTGATAGAAACGCGTTACGGCGAACTTAATGACGATTTTACTCGTTACTAGAATTTTTTAAGTTTTTATAAAACTCGTCCCTACCCTGAAAATTAAGGTTTCCCCGTTTTATAATATTTAAAAATATAAAATATTTTAAAAATTAAATATAATAACAGAGGGCGCCAGCTAAATTTCAAATGTTGTCGGGAGATTTGCGTTACTGGTTGCTGGTTTATTTTTCTATCGAATTTTCCTTTAGAATGCAGAGAAGGAGAGAGTTCACAGAATAACTTAAATATAAATATACCTGTAATGTTTTTACAATTATTATTTAAATCGGAGATATTTCTCTTCGTCTTCGAATTTTTCTCTGTATGTTTTCCAATGTCCGTCGGTGGTATGTCTTTGTTTCATACAGACAAGTTTTAGGTGGCAAATTCCAGGGATCTATCCTGTGTGAGGGTGACCTCATTCTTAAGCGCCGAACGCCTCCAATTAGAACTGTGGAAACAAAATTTCTACTCTTCCGACACGTGTCGGAAGTTGGACTGTTTAGCGCAGCGGTTCCCAAAAAGGACGCGACGCCCCCCATGGGTGGATATAAATCAAAGGGTCGAAAAGAAGTGGACGACAGGAAAGACAAGAGGTAGAGTATTTGCCTACGGTAACCATAGGGAACGGGTGGGGTCACTGACAATCTTTTTCTTAACTCTTTTAAAACGGGTGTGAGGGAACATTGCGTTGAACGATTTTTAGATTTGGAGACTAAAAGTGTGAATTTCATAGAAAAGTTTTTCCTAAAAACATTTCCAGGTCTTTCTCACACAAGGAAAGATGGGTTAGGGAGCATTGGTGTACATTAACAGAAAAGATAGTTTTCCTCCAATTTCGTATGTTTTACAAAAATAGAGAGGAATACCGAACAATTACGAAATGTTTTTAAAAGTAAATTATGAATTCTAGATCCTCACGTAATATTAATTTGGCATTGAATTTTCTGCATTAATTATACTATTTTTAATTAATTGCAACTGTCGTTTCTTTCTACATAACTATTAAAAATGATTTTAGTGTTGTTTCGCACAAAAGATAATCAAATTTATATTCATTTTCATATTCTTATTCTTTATTTTATAAAATTACCTGTCTTTTATTTTATTTTTATTTCAATTTTTTTCTTTTAATTATAAGAGAGTTAACATTCAACTATCGGGCTTCGTAGTCAGTGGCAAATCCACATAGGGACTAATAGGACTGAAGCCCAGAGCCCCCAAGTGTCAATAGCGCAGAAAAATTGAATTATCATCATAAATTTTAATACGTTTTTATTAATATTTCATAAATAAATATATTTCAACTCTGGTGTTTATGTTATTAAAGATGAATTTTAGACCCCAGTTTAAAAATTCTTGACTATTAATCGTATAAGTGATATTATAGATGCAAGTATCACAAGTGTTGTTTACGTGTTATCACTGGAATCTCTTCCGTTAACCTTGAGAGTACATCCCCTTGTTTACTGTTACAACGGGAACAATAATCACGACTTTACTCGTCTTTGCTCTAAATTTCAAATGAACATTTATTAATTTAACTATAATTAATTCTTTGATTGAATACAGATTGTTGGCATTCGAGAATATCGTAAATGGAGAAAATGAAGATAAAAGAAGAGTTAGAAACGAATTATTCGGACTTTACAATTGAACGAAACGAAGAAAAATTTGAAGTTGATTTTAAAAATTTCAAGAAAGAATTTAACACAGATGTGAAGTGTTATAAAAGAATTAAATCCGAACCTTTAGAGGTGAGTGAAAAATACTTTATTGTAAGATCGCAGTTTTCCTTTAAGAACGAGAAACACATTTTTAATGCTGAAATATAAAATGGAAAATTAAATAATATATATATTTAAATAGTATACTTGTATAAATATTCGCCCAACGAGCTTTAAACTGAGCTACGTTATTTTCGATTTAAATTAAAAGACATTTCTGCTCTTTACTATAAATTTGATGTTTTGGCCGCAGTGTTCGTTTTAAAAAGGATAACGCTTTTTGTACTGACGGAATTTTGTGGTCCCACTGTCTTTAAAATTTTTTATATTGTTGTGTATACAACTGACTGGCAATTACCTGTTCCTATTGTATGAAGTCACGTTTTGCACAATTTACGTTTTACTTTCTTGTTATACCTTTATAACAAGGAAAAGTAACGCAATGCTGTCAGATTTGACCTTCGTCGTCTTTTGCAAATTTCCCCGTTTTGAAGCTTCCTGAACCCAAGAAAGTAAAAAAAAGGACCAAATTGGTTTCGTGTATGTGTGTGTCTGTGTGTCACTACGTCCATGTGTGTGTGTTGACGTCTATTTCGCTTAATATCTCAGGACGGGTTGAAGATAAAGGAACGAAATTCCGCATGGTAGCTTGTTTCTAAGGGGAATTGATGTTATTAAAGATCAGTTGTAAAAGGTCAAGAGGATGGATAGATAGAGGGTAGTCATGTGCAGTGGCGTATGGTGACATTCGATGATAGTGAAGCTTTTTCACATCTTGTATCGACTTTTACCTATCTATCTCTGTTGTCGGAATTGAGAAAGTACTGTCAGTCGTACAGACTAAGGAAAGTGGGAATTTATAAATCTATTTTTAAATTGCAGCCCAATGCTTAAAAAAACTATTATTTACATATTCATATAGTATCAGATATTTTTAATTGGGCAGGAGGTTTCGATAAACTGTATACGTATCTTTGTTAAAAACCGGAATTCACGTTGTTTGAATTCAAAATTTTCGTTTGAAAGGGATTAAATAGATGACAGGCATTACTATTAAAAAAAAGTAGGTAGTAGGCCATATTTTTAAAAAAAAATTATGTAGTAAGTGTATCTCTATGCTTCAGTTTAAATAATTTTTTATTTGTTTTTTATCAAGGTCAATCAGTCTAATATTAATAGTATGACGTAATCTTCTTTTATTTTAGATAAATATTAAAGGTAAACCAATTTACACACACAACACAAACGGATCCACTATTTGGAGTCATTCTGGTTATAAAATCGAAACAGGTAAGAGTCTTAATGCTTCTAATATAATGAAAGTATATTCCTACTGATAAGAATAATACTTAATACATAAATATATATTTATATAAAATGGAAATGATAAGATTTGAAAATTGTTGCGAATACGTCGTGTATAGTCAATAAGGTTCTAAATAGAATTTAATATTATCAATAACAATTAATTCTGTTGACAGATTTAAAATTGTTAATTCAATTGATCAGAATCTTACAATAAAGAAAATTTAAATTCAGATATTTTAGATTTCAATGAAAAGACCAATCATTTATTATGATATCGCCACAACACCGGAGTGCAAATTTTAATCATATTTGTAATGTATTTAATTTAAAATATATGCCCTTTATCTCAAATTAATAGTGGCTTGCCTCTGTACATTATACCAGTGGGTGATCGGTTAACGAACATAATCCGTTCCAAGACTTTGTTCGCTATCCGAATTGTTCGTTAACCGATTATCGATTTACTATAGGTTTTAATGGAAATTTAATTAATTCGTTCTGGAGACAGCCAAAATAAAAATATATATACTTTTTTACTACATTTATTTATATGTATTGATGATAATAAAAATACATACATATACAGTCTTGCGTTATTATTAGTCATGTTTTTTCCGTTTGAAAGGGTTAAAGAATCTGTCTAATTTTGATTGCTTTTCTCTCTTCTTCAGGATTTTTCGTAAGTAATTAATAGCATTGCAATTGTAGAAATCCCCAAGCCTCAACCTGGTTTGGATGCCATTCTAAGACAGTTGTTCTGACATCCTCCCACTTCTCCAAAGGATCTTTAATAACAGATATCGGCATTAATCCTCTTTTTCAGAAGAAAACGTATCTCGCCGAGTTTGTTGGGTTCTTGGTGTTCTTTATTCAAGAGTTCTTGGCGTTCTTCTGTCGTCAGATCCGTTTCAGGTTCCTTTATGAACTCTTCGATGTTCTTTATTTCTCAGATGTGATTTTTGTTACTTCTTTAGTTGCTTCAGTCTTTTTGCTTATACAGTATTTTTTTAAAATAATATTGAACTGCTGCCTACTGTAGACCTGTTCACGCCATACTGCCCAGCAGCATTAGGCATCTTCTGCCCACTCTCTACCTTTGCTATTATACTCTCACCTTTCGAAAAGAAAAACAGACGCAAAACTTAACGAGTGCCTACCCGACAGTCTCGCAAATACATAAAATAATTGTTTTGTCAGAAAAATAAAAGGCTGGAATTACAAGAGAGAGTTTCAAAGTTCGAAGGAATACTATCCGATCGGTATGTACCGGCTTGACCANATATCTAATTTTGTTCAGTATAACTATAAGAATTAATAAGAGAAAATAAAATTCGACCAAGTTATTATAGATTATCTGAAACACCTAAAATATCGTATTATAAGAAAAAACAGACGGCCTTGACAATAACTGTTGGTAAACTGTTTATTCCCCATAGGGTTGAGAAGACTTTGAATCATTACTGTTTTTTTATAATTTATACATTTCGATCTTCCAATCTTCCTCAGCACATTTATCGGACAGAGTTTAGATTACTAACAAATAAATATGTGAAAAAACTAAATAATATCTAAATAATTTTTAAAACATGTATTGTGTTTTGATTANTTTTTCTTTGACAATGGAGTTTTGCCGGTAATTTATTAATAGATTTCACTAGAAACGATTTTTATTGAAATAACATGACTTTCGATCTTCATCAAAAGTTCCTACATATTACTTCGGTGTCTAAACTCCTAATCTTTCCATAATATATGATTTCGGCTTTTTTTCATCTTCGTGCGTTCTCGAGATTAAGAAAGGACTTACACACAGACAGGCGACAGTGAAAATTTATAGGTCTACAATTTTTTCAAATTACACCCAAATTATATAATTAAATTCGATGTGTTTTTTGTTCTAGCGAAAACGTCTGTTGGTATTTATTTTATTGCTTCTATCGATATATGTTTTTGATATTCTGAAAAGAGTAGGGTCGCCATTAATAAGTGCTTAGACTGGGATGTAATAATTAATAATAGAAAACGATTTTTTACGTAAAATCTCATAACACATGGCGCAATGACCAATTGTAACAGTTTTGCTGATAAATTTCCGTAACTCGTTGCCGGATTTTGTTTATTTTCAAATCAAACTCAAAAGAATTATGTGCAATATGATTGTATTACACATTTTTTCTTGCTTATGAGAGCCGGTACCACAGTGAATATAAATTATCCATCGTTAGCAAACTCGATGCATAAACATATCACTCATTAGCTCCATCCAAGTTATTTTTTTTATTTTAATCACTAAGTACTTGTGCATATAATATCTATTTAAGATTTAAGGAAATCATCCTCGAGCCACTNTGTTTTTTGTTCTAGCGAAAACGTCTGTTGGTATTTATTTTATTGCTTCTATCGATATATGTTTTTGATATTCTGAAAAGAGTAGGGTCGCCATTAATAAGTGCTTAGACTGGGATGTAATAATTAATAATAGAAAACGATTTTTTACGTAAAATCTCATAACACATGGCTCCATGACAAATTGTAACAGTTTTGCTGATAAATTTCCGTAACTCGTTTCCGGATTTTGTTTATTTTCAAATCAAACTCAAAAGAATTATGTGCAATATGATTGTATTACACATTTTTTCTTGCTTATGAGAGCCGGTATCACAGTGAATATAAATTATCCATCGTTAGCAAACTCGATGCATAAACATATCACTCATTAGCTCCATCCAAGTTATTTTTTTTATTTTAGTCACTAAGTACTTGTGCATATAATATCTATTTAAGATTTAAGGAAATCATCCTCGAGCCACTTCTAATTGGATAGGGACTGTATTATTCACGCAATAAATGCCATCTGTTGACCTATGTACTAAGCAATATGTTTTTTAAGGAATGTTGGAATGTTTTGATGACAGGATATGTTTTGACCCAGAATGCACATGAAAATAAATCCTTGTACACTTAATCCTTACTTATACATCACTTTCGTTGAAAGAAGTTTTTATTGTTTACACATTCATGTATTATATATGATAAGAAGTGTGAAGGAGTGACGCATTGATACGTAACGTACTTTACAGTACATTATACATATGTCTGAATTTTTAGACATAAAGTTATCAACGTAGACAAGTAGAATTTTTTAAGATATTTTATATTTTTTGCTAATGAAAAGTGAGAACGACCAGAAATGGAAAAACATCAGAATATCGAAGTTTGATTGATTAATTAACATAACTTCTCTGTGATATTTTACAACATTTACGAGAATAAATTGTGAAATGTAATAATTGTAAATTTTAAATTGAAAAGTGTTAGGAATGTGGCTGTTAGGTGTGAAAAAGTTTATCTCCTGGTCCTTTGAAAGATATAGTGTGACGTACGAGGAAACTGTTTATTTTTTCTAGTTGCCTGTGACCCTCTAAGTTATTACTATTTTTCTAACGTGTGTGTGTGTCTGTAGTCTTCGTGGGGTAAAGACGTGTAGAAGTTTCGTCCGTCTCCCGTATACGTCCTTGCTGGTTCAATATATCCGACTTAACGAACAAATATTACTAACAAAAAGTTTTAAATCCGTGATTATTTAACACTTTGACGAAGTTTTACTTTCTCGGCTGTTATATATAACACAAGGGTAATCTGTCAGAAAATATTCCCCGAAATACAGTGGGTGATCTGTTAACGAACATAATCCGTTCCAAGACTTTGTTCGCTATCCGAATTGTTCGTTAACCGATTATCGATTTACTATAGGTTTCTATGGGAATTTGATTAATTCGTTCTGGTGACCCCGAAAATAAAAATATATATACTTTCTTACTACATCTATTCATATGTATTGATAATAATAAAAATACATACATACACAGCCTTGCGTTATTATTAGTCATGTTTTTTCCGTTTGAAAGGGTTAAAGAATCTGTCTAGTTTTGATCGCTTTTCTCTCCTCTTCAGGATTTTTCGTAAGTAATTAATAGCATTGCAATTGTAAAAATCTCCAAGCCTCAACCTGGTTTGGATGCCATTCTAAGACAGTTGTTCTGACATCCTCCCACTTCTCCAAAGGATCTTTAATAACAGATATCGGCATTAATCCTCTTTTTCAGAAGAAAACGTATCTCGCCGAGTTTGTTGGGTTCTTGGTGTTCTTTATTCAATAATTCTTAGCGTTCTTCTGTCGTCAGATCCATTTCGTGTTCCATTATGAACTCTTCAATGTTCTTTATTTCTCAGATGTGATTTTTCTTACTCCTTTAGCCGCTTGAGTCTTCTTGATTATACAGTATGTTTCTTAAATAAGATTGAACTGCGGCCAACTGTAGACCCGTTTACGCCATACTGCCCAGCAACATTAGGCATCTTCGGCCCACTCTCTACCTTTGCTATTATACTCTGACCTTTCGAAAAGAAAAACAGACGCAAAACTTAACAAGTGCCTACCCGACAGTTCCATGAATTAATAAAAGAATTGTTTTGTCAGAAAAATAAAAGGCTGGAATTACAAGAGAGAGTTTCAAAGTTCGGAGGAATAATATCCGATCGGTATATACCGGCTTGAGTGTCGATGTCGACTTCTCCCACACTTCGAAAAGTTTCGATTTGTTGCCGAAAACAAGGGAAGACCAATCGGTATTCATTATTTTACGTCGCTTCTTTTTGTGTTTGTTCTGTGGAGTGTTCGTTGTCCGAACATAAAAATTTTTCGCGAAAGTGTTCGTTATCCGATTTGTTCGTTAACCGATCACCCACTGTATTTTCATTTTTAAACTTAAGATAGCTTAAAACGTCGAGAAAGTAAAAAAATTTCGGGGAATTTTTGGTATTNATTTGTTCGTTAACCGATCACCCACTGTATTTTCATTTTTAAACTTAAGATAGCTTAAAACGTCGAGAAAGTAAAAAAATTTCGGGGAATTTTTTGTATTAATAAATGTCATTGTGTGTGGAAGGGCACGATGATTTTCTTCAACCTTTTTAAAGTTTAATAATTACTGTGCTTTTTGTCGAAAATTTCTGAATTTGGAAGGAAGATTTGTTTATTAAGGGGATTCATGCTTTTTTGAAGTTTTTGTGATTAAAGTTCTAGAGCAGGCATGGCCAACATACGGTTTGCGGGCCGGATTTGGCCCGTCAGAAGAATTTATGCGCCCCGTGATTAATCTTTCAATATTAGTTACACAAGACGGAATAGCTCAACGAAAAATTCTGACGCCTAAAAAAAATCAACAACTCACTGTGCGTTTAGAGTTAACGCTCTATTACAAATCTCCTAAGCACAGCGTAGAATGTTGATAATGCATGATAATGTGGAAAATGTATCTGTAATCTCTATGTACAATATAGTCTCTACGAGATGACATCACAATGATATCTCGCACCACCTGAAAATCTTCCTAGGGCAGCCTATGGTTCGGACCGTGAAAAAAGTTTTCTTTCCAATTCTGTCCGGGGACAAAAACTGTTGGCCACCCCTTGTCATTTTCTCATTTACAATTTTTTTTATAAAACTCATCTTTATTTTCAAAATCAACCATTTTTGCTTTATAATAGTTAAAAATATAAAAATATTTTTAACAAAATATCACAAAAGATAGCGCCACACGTAGTTGTTTCCGAAAAAGTTAAGCACTCGTTGCTGGTTTAATTTATAAGAAANTGGAGATATGAAATAATTCATAATCAAAATATATAAAATTGCAAAATGCGATTCTAATAGATTTCGAAGCATTTTCATGAAAGATCATTAAATTATTTATCGACAGTTGGTCATAAAAACATTACACAGTCTTATATAACCTGCAATGGACATTTATATAGATACTTTTAAAAAGTATCAAGTATATTTTACTAGAAAAAAATTCATGAATTAAATTATATAGACGGAAAACCGTTGTATATAGGCTTAACTGACTAGATCAGGGGTGACCAACCTTTTCATAGGGCGGGCCAAATTTCAGAAATAATGTTTCCTGCCGGGCCACTCACCTATTTTTTTTTTTTTNGTTTTTATTAATATAATTTGTATCACACATTACACCAATTTGCTGTGACTCATGGTTAGTTTTCGGCTTGTAGTTAGAAACAAATAATGTAGTGAAACATGTAACTTTTGTTATGTTAATTAATGAAAATATGCTTAGTTTTATTTTATATTTCAAGCTTTTCTTAGAATCCTTTAACACAAAAACTTTGTAAATTCTACTACAGATATTAAGAAAGAGGTAGTAGAAGAGAATTATGATGTAAAACATGGTATAAAATCAGAATGTAAAGTTGATTTGAAAAAGTTGAAGATTGAAGTAAAGATTGAAGATTGTAAAGATGTTCATCTTCCAGATGATAATGAACAGATAATGGTATGTAATACAAATTTCAAAATATTTTACAGTGAAACTTTAATATTAACTTAGCTTTCTGAATTGTTGAAAACGTAGTAATGAATACTGTATTATGCTTTAAATTTAGGTGTTTTCCGTATTAAATATAAAAATATGTAATATATAAGAAAACAATCTAGCAACGAGTTGCGTAGCATTCCTGCATGTTAAGAGAGTTAATTTTTAAAAATTTATATTATTAATCACAATAAATAAAAAAAAGTTGTCTGTGGAGCCATATATTATAAAATTTCTTAATTATTTTAACTATTATAAAATGAAGAAATATTTATTTTTGATGGTAGAAATGCATTTTTTAAACAATTGTACACGCTAACCACAAGTATAAACTTTATTAATTCTGAACCCACTCAAAATATTACACGTGACCATCTTTTCACTCTTTGACACTTTATTACAGAAATGTAATAGTATTAATGCTCTTTATACACAATTACGGAACCAAATTTCGTTTTTGAATGTTCAATTCATTGTGAAATATTAAGTGAAATAGACGCAAAATAAACGCCCACATACACATATTCATGGAATTTTTTGCCGTCTTTTGGAATGTAGAATCTAAAAATTTGCAAAAAATCAGAGGGTGAATATTGACCAGATTATAGTACTTTATTTTGTTATGTATACATAACATCGCTAAATGTAAAAAGCGAATTTCAACATTAAATTTATATATGTAAATTATAGTGTTTCAANGCTTGTAGTTAGAAATAAATAATGTAGTGAAACATGTAATTTTTGTTATGTTAATTAATGAAAATATGCTTAGTTTTATTTTATATTTCAAGCTTTTCTTAGAATCCTTTAACACAAGAACTTGTAAATTTTACTACAGATATTAAGAAAGAAGTAGTAGAAGAGAATTGTGACGTAAAACATGGTATAAAATCAGAATGTAAAGTTGATTTGAAAAAGTTGAAGATTGAAGTAAAGACTGAAGATTGTAAAAATGTTCATCTTCCAGATGATAATGAACAGATAATGGTATGTAATACAAATTTCAAAATATTTTACAGTGAAACTTTAATATTAACTTAGCTTTCTGAATTGTTGAAAACGTAGTAATGAATACTGTATTATGCTTTAAATTTAGGTGTTTTCCGTATTAAATATAAAAATATGTAATATATAAGAAAACAATCTAGCAACGAGTTGCGTAGCATTCCTGCATGTTAAGAGAGTTAATTTTTAAAAATTTATATTATTAATCACAATAAATAAAAAAAAGTTGTCTGTGGAGCCATATATTATAAAATTTCTTAATTATTTTAACTATTATAAAATGAAGAAATATTTATTTTTGATGGTAGAAATGCATTTTATAAACAATTGTACACGCTAACCACAAGTATAAACTTTATTAATTCTGAACCCACTCAAAATGTTACACGTGACCATCTTTTCACTCTTTGACACTTTATTACCAAAATGTAATAGTATTAATGCTCTTTATACACAATGACGAAACCAAATTTCGTTTTTTAATGTTCAATTCATTGTGAAATATTAAGTGAAATAGACGCAAAATAAACGCCCACATACACATATTCACGGAATTTTTTGCTGTCTTTTGGAATGTAGAATCTAAAAATTTGCAAAAAATCAGAGGGTGAATATTGACCAGATTATAGTACTTTATTTTGTTATGTATACATAACATCGCTAAATGTAAAAAGCGAATTTCAACATTAAATTTATATATGTAAATTATAGTGTTTCATTTGGTAGTTTGAGTATTTCTCCTTTTTTCTGCACAATAAATTAGAGCAGGGGTGAGCAACCTTTTTAATCAACGGGCCAATTTAAATTTTAAAATTTTTTGGCGGGCCGCACATAAAGTAACACTTATTAATAATTTACAAAACTTTATTTATAATAAACATTAGAATAAAAAAATATAAAATTTAAAAAAAGTAAAGATTTCATATACAAATTTTAATGCAAAATAAAAACAAACAAGAAAAGAACAGAAAAACGAATTTACTTGAAATTTTTAATGAGAAATTTGGCACTGTTTTTTCGATACAAGCTGATCAATATCAGCCGGAATTGANAGATATTTCAAATTTCTCTTAGCTATAATTTAAAAATACATGATATGAATAACTCATGAGGTAATGTTCTTTTGATGATATGTACAATAAAGTTAACATTTACGTTCATTTGAACTAGCTCCGTGGGCCGCAACATGACTCCCGGCGGGCCGCATGCGGCCCGCGGGCCTCGTGTTGGCCACCCCTGGACTAGATCGAACATACTAATTTACAAAAGTTATTAAATTATTTCAAAACGTATGGCGAATTATTTATATTTAAAAGTGAATGGATGAAAAAAAATTATTTTAAAATCTAGAACTACAATTATTTAGACATCGAACTTCTTTTGGTGTCTAAGATTGAATAATAATAAAAAATTTGTTATTACCACAAATATTTAAAAAAGCATATTTCTCTTTACGATATTTAATAAATAAGTAACAATTTTGTGATCAAAGCTTCGCAATCCACTACTACTAATAGTAGCGTATGATCAAACTGTACATTGATTCAGTGGCTGCACTATTTATAATAAATGTTCAATGTTACGACCACCAACTTCGTTACATAATGTGCAACGACAAACTTTGTTCGTACGACTCTCTGTAAGATGCCAGCTTCCCTCTGATGGTATTAAATGCTGTAAAGATGCCTTTTGTAAGCTCACGAACTGTTCTTACAGGTGTTGCGTACACAAGGAACTTTACATTACCTCAGAGAAAGAAGTCAAAAACAATAACATGACGTCAATGGACGGAAGGATAGGTACCAAAGTGAAGGGCGGTCAAGCACTTCCTACTGCTGTAAAAACCTTATATCACCATTCCTGCTATGGGTTCTTGATATCAAAACGTTCAAAATTCTATCCTGTACAATCTCCCGAATTTTTAAAATGTTATTCTGATACACCCTGTATATATTAATATAATTTGAGTGTGTAATAAAGCATGTGTAACGAGTTGCATTGGTTTGTAAATAAGGTAAGACTTAGGCAATGTACAAATCTCTCACATATTGCCTTCAAGATTGAAATGCGCGAATTATCATAGTTGCAAAAAGCAATAATCATTAGCTTTCAGAACAAGGCTGGCAGAATTTTTGAAATTGTGCAGCATTTGAACAATTTTCATGCTGCTACGATGAAGATATTCTGTGATTGGACAAATGACACCATTTGAAACAAACAGCAAGGAGCAACTCGTGTCATTGATTTTAAAGAAAACGTCGGTTTAAAGGTATCTGAGGGGTAATCGACACGATACATTTGAACAACTTATTGCCAAGATGAACAGTGATCTACAAGACGTATGTCGAAAAACACAATATAACAAGCCGTGCTGCGAACGAGACTCTAACGTGCTAAAAAATCGATTGCCTAGATCAAAAAATGATATCTGTTGGGAATATTAAAAAAAACCTAAATATTTTTATTGTTTAGTATACAAAATTCATACAATTTTAACAGTTTCGGTTAAAAAATCAACTTTCACACTTTATATGATGTGAATTATGAACAAAAACGCGAGGTGGAATAAATGATGTCGATGCAAGCAATCCATGTTTCACAAACAATGTCTGACAGATGCCAAAGGACTAAAATCAAACGAAAAATTTCTGTACATACAGACAGTACGAAACTCAACTCTTGTTCATATCACATTTATATGTGATTTTGTGACATTCCAAATTATCTTATATACCAATCGAAACTCGTAAAATTAGTTAGTAGTTTTATGGTAAAAACATACGGAATAAACAAACAAAGTAAAAAATCAAAAAACAATTGAAGTACGTATCAAAGTAATTCTTTACAGCATTCTGAAATGAACTTAGAAGTCCCTCAGTATCAGCTATCTTCTTTGGTATTAAGCAATGTTGCATTCAACCGTTCACGTGTGCAAATAGTAACATTCCATAAAAATGAAAATTACAACTATCGGAATCTATTCCGTGTGATGCAATGCTATATGTTAGTTTTATATATAAAATCCAAATTCCTACTAATGTGCTATACAGTGTCGATCTGATGTTAGTCGATTCTTCGATACAAGTGAACTTACTTAGTACCACGTTAGGGGTTTCTTTCGCACATGCATTTTCTGTAAATTTTACGCTACTACTGGTTATTCTAGTTGAGTATCAAAGAACCAGAAATTTTTTGCATAAAAATTTTGCTCGCTGTAAAATATTTTTAAAACATTTTGCATAGATTGTTAGTTAAATTAAAAAACACTAAATTTTCTAGGTTATTTACGAAATTTTAAATGTAAAATTATTGCAAAAGTATGTGTTTTTGGATCTGCTTGACTCAGCACAAATAAGAGATGGATAATCCATTAATATGTTGAAAATAAGTGGCATTTTTCGATGTTAAGGAACATTCCAACACATGTTACTTATTAACAATTATATTAAAATTAACATTATCTCACTTTCAATCATTAAGAATCTGTATAATTTCATTTAATATAGGGATGTCTTACCCGAGGCCCAAGGCAAGTTCCAATGCGGCCCAATAAACGTGTAAACAAAACCGACAAATTGTTTTATTTTTTTATTTTTTTATTTCAACGGCATAAGCTCAAAAAAGAAATTTTATAAAGCCGTAAATTTTTATACATATTTTATTTTTTAGTGAAAAAAATTAATTTTCAAATATTTGGAACTGTGTGAATGACGAAGGAATACTAAATAAAGCTGAAGTTGTGACTCAAAGGATTATAGACCCAAATTTGAGAAAAGAAGAGAAAGGCCAAAAAATAAAAAGTAGTAAAAAAGGTTGAATAAACCTTCTGTTATGCAAATATTGACCCTTAATTTTCCAACCTTCCTCACTACTTTTTATCTTTTGGGACTATAATCCTTTAAGTTTCAACTCCAGCATTATTTAGTATTCTTTCCAGCATTGCAAGATTTGGCTACCCTTTTTTAGTTTTGGCGTAAAAATTATCATTTCGCACATTGGATACTTTTTCGGCTACATATTAATTATAAATATATTTGTTGGATAAAAATGCACTTTACAATGGTGTTTCATCGTCTTTTATTAATTAGAGACCCAAATAAAACAAATATTTGTGTTTTTCAAATACATTTTTGTTTTTCTCCTTTATAATAAATGAATTTATTTATTGCTAAGTAAAAATTAAAAGGGTCTGTACAACTAATTTTTTAAAATATCCTTTTTCATGATAAAGTTTTAATACTTATTACTATAATGTAGACATGTTAATCTTTGGGCCACAAATATATACTTGTGGGCCGAAACTCCATGACTTTTTCCAATGTGGCCCAGAGGAACAAAAAGCTTGGACACCCGTGATTTAAGGTATCATAAGAGAAATATATATTATTTAAATGCTCTTATAATTGATGATCTGATTACAGTATTTAAATGTATTCTGCTTATGAGACCACAATAAAACTACTGCCCGATGTTATGTTATTATAACTCACATGAGAAAAAACAATTACACATGGATTTATGTGACACTTCACATAAATTATTATTAATTGTATCAGTTGTAATGTATGATAATAATACAATATGATAAAACTTAACTCGATATAACTGTAAAATTCTTTTATAATTTAATAAGTACTTTTAACAGATATGTCCAACGATTCCAACGTTTGGAGAGTAGCTGCAATCCAGGTATCCATTTTTTTACTTTATAAATATATCATAACTGTATAATATTTATTTGTTTAACCATTTAAATGGGGTTTGTGGACTGATGAACAAAAAATGCCATGTCCTTTTAATTCTATTTTCCTGTTTGTGTAAACATTGTAAGTCGTTTTATATTTAATATTTTGAAAAAAATTTTAATCGTAAATTTACAACAAAATTTATACACTGCAGACTGAGAAGGGATTACGAAAAGTTTCATCCTAAATGCATTTAAATAAAAGATATGAAAATTAAAATAGCTTTTGGGTAATTCT